GTCAGACATCCTTGATGGATGACTCTAACCCTACCAATCAGACATCAAGCCCGATGAGGGGCACACCTGCTCTTATCACTTGTTTTCTGGATGGCTCGTGGAAAGACGGCGACCCCTCAAGTGGCCTAGGGTGGATATTATAGTTACAAGATGGTGACATGGATCTTCTGGGTCTACGAGGGATGAGAAGGGCTTTGTCTCCACTACACACAGAGCTGCATAGCCTGTTATGGGCCATGGATAGCCTATGGAAGAAAAACCGATACTGCGTGGTGTTCGCGACAGATTCACAGGAATTAATAGTTATGGTGTCGGAGCCGGACAATTGACCCTGCTTTGCACCAGAGTTGGATGAATTGAGGGCGCTACGTTTTCATTACCAGGATTTTACACTTTTGTATTGCCCAAGAGATAAAAATGAGAAGGCAGATCTACTAGCTACGAACGTTCGCCACCGGAATTCAATTTTCTCTAGTATTAGCATTTTAGTTCTACATTGGTTTCCAAATACTTATGTATTTTCTTTATCAATGTCGTTGAAGTGCGTCGTGAAAAAAAAAAAACGCAGCTAAAGAAACCAAATCATTCTAATCAAAAATTTCAACGTAAATCTAGATACGGTACTAAACTTTTAATCATTTATCAATACAAGACAAAATATTACGTACGAATGATTTGATAGCCCACCCAAATCCATTAAACTATCCCATAATTATTCAGCTGATTGTACCTCTCTAATCTCTTGAGGGGGAAAACAAAAAGTTGAATAAGGCAGGATGAGATCTATTTATTCTGGCCCAAAAATTATTAGTTTCCGGTTTTAAATGCAATATATTTTAGTTAAAAACATGTAATATAATTTTCTTTTCTACAAAATATTATCAATATTTAAATAAAAATAATTCAAATATTTGTAAACGACTCAACAAAATAAAAATGATCACAATATTGAATAAATTTATTACTTTCATAAACTTTTGCATACACCTATGAAATGAGCAATTTTTACCATTTAGAGGAATAAAATTGATGGAATTAAATATTTCTTTAGATTTTACCATTTGAGTGGAACAAAATTTGGTGAAATTGAACATTCATCTAAATTATTACCATTTGAGTTGAACAAAATTTGGTGAAATTGAATATTCATCTAAATTATTACTATTTGAATTGAAAAGTTTTAAAAAGTGATTCAATTCTTTCCACCCAAAAAATGATGTTAGAATTACAACTGAAATTCGTATAGGAGTTTTGAACAAGACTGATTTTCTGTTTTGGTAGTTTAGGATGTTCATATACGTTGGCTTTCAA